GTGTTTGTGCTGCGGCGGCGCGAGGATTTGGACTACACTGAATTGCGCCATTTGGAGGAGACTTTGTGCAGTTAATTAAATATATTTTACTTGCCTACAGGGTGTAGACTGTGTTAGATTCAATCCGAGCTCACTCACCTGCATCCCGCGGGGCACCAAGTCATCTCTATATCGCACAAACATATGTACTTCTTTACGCTGCACAAACTCACCTATCTTTCGAATTTCGACAGGTCAGTCCAGCAAATCGCGCACGCGCACGTCGCACCACACACATCTGCGTGATCCTACGCCTGCCATCAGCGCTCACCAGGCACACGCCATCGTCTGCACCGTCACGACGCTCGGCGGCCGCTCGAGCAGCGGCTCTGCGTTCAGCGCCGCGCGCGTCAGCTGGAAGTACTGCTCCGCCTCCGAGTTGTGCGGCGCGGGCGGCAGCTCGACGTCCGTCAGCGCGCCGAAGCAGAACGTCACGAACAGCAGCGCCAGGTCGTGCGCCGTCCCCGGCGTGCGCGCCGGCTGCAGGTCGAACGCCGCCGCGGAGCTGCTCAGCTGCGCGCCCGCCTCGATGCTCCCGCTGCCGCTCGCGCCCGCGTGCGCGCGGTACTCCACCGCCTCGGCGTAGAACAGCGGCAGCACCTCCTCGACGAGCTGCCGCCGCGTCACCGCCCCGAAGAACCACGGCGCCTGCTCCAGGTACAGGTCGCACAGCTGCGCCGCGCGCGGCCACGGCGGCAGGTGCGCCTCCATCAGCTCCTGCACGTCCATGTCCGCGTCCGCGTCCGCGAGCCCAGACGGCGCGGCGGGGAACGCGGTCGTCAGCCTGGCCAGCGCGCGCGGCAGCGATGCGTGCGGCGCGGCAGGCGGTGGCTGTCCAGATTTCTCATTCTCGTCCTGTATCGGGGAGGCATGCTGCTCAGCGTGGGCGCGCGGGGACGACGGAGAGACGTACCAAAAGCAGGCTCTGTTGAAGGATGCAAGTCAGCCGCTAAGACTCGTATGATATGTAGTGTTGAGAACTGCGCCCAATTGGCGCAACAATAGCGAATGGCGACTGCTGGCGCAACTCGCAAGTCAGGCGTGGCTCAGACTCTGAGCAACCTAACATTTGTGCCTCCTTCATGCGGCCTAGTGTTGTGGGCAGAAATCCTAGGAGCCGACTTCTGCCAACTGCCCCCTGGCAGAATATGGCAGATCTCAGGCAGAGTTCACAATCAATCATGGACATGGCCATGCTATTTGGTCGCAAACCTACCTGGCAGAGTGGCAGATTTCTGCCAACAACACTATGCGCCATGCCCGAGCCATCAGCAAACTTGAGTACGCAGGTGAACCGACAAAAATTCAGGTCTATGACCGGAATTAACTTGAGAATGTTCGGAAGGGCATTGTACCCTTAGCGAGGCAGAGGTAGTGATGTCCACGGGCAGGCTTCGAAGCCCAAGCCCGCCGGGCCTTGCTTGACTATGAAACCAAGCCCAGCAGCCAAAAGTGCGGCTCAAAGTAGGCCTTTGGGCACTGAACAACACTAGGCAGAGGAGAAATACCATTCGCCAGTGGCGCCGCCCTTGCCAGCAATTGCCATGGGCTTCTGCTAGACCCTGCGCCACAACACTAATGATAGGCCGCAGACGCACCTCTGAACCCGCCGAGCGTCCGTAGAACATCGCCGCGCCGTCGTCGCGCACGGCCAGCGTGCCAAACGCGTCGATGTACTGCGACTCCTCGTCGCCCTGCTCGCCGGCGTCGTCGCTGTGTGCCGCGCGCCCCTGGAGGTGCGCCGCCGAGTGCAGCTCGAGGCCGGACTTGATCTTGAGCAGGTCGTGCACGAGCAGCGGGTGCAGGTCGCGCGTGACGCTGGACTGGAGGATCGCGAGCGCGTCTTCGAGCTGGCGGATGCGGTCGCTCATCTCGGCGATCTTGCGGTGCAGCCGGTCGGTGTCTGCAAGGATGAATCTGTGCGCGGTGAGCAACACAACGCAACATATGACAGCGCTCTCACCTGGTGCCCTGGCCGGTGGTGAGGCTGCCG